GATCAATGTTTTAGCTTCAGCTGCTCCCACAAACTTTACTATATTATCCCACACTTCAGTGGTAACCTGGAACTTTTGGTCAACAGTTCAAAGTCCTCTCTCCTTGCTAGGAAATCTTTGAATAAATAATATAATGCAGACAACAAAGAATCTATGCCCCACGAGGAAGCTTTTACCCCTGTCTTAAAACTGTTGTTCACTACGTGAAGACCACAGGAACCAATATTCATCAGAGATGACTGGAAGTCATTCAATATTTTTTTATTCATGATGTCATGGAATTTCCAGTTAACATTTGTCCTGTCCATGCTTATTTGCACTAACTTGGGTTTTTTTCAACATCTCTACTCTTTCTTCGAAATGTGCAACCATGTCTTCTGCAGTTGCATGACCTAAAATAAAAACACATACAAACTAATAAATTGCAACAGAATGTTTATAAAATTTTAATAAATGAAATCTAAGTTTTTATTTTCTTTGCAAATTATTTATTCAAGTCAGACCAGTTCCCAATAACCAAGGAACAGGCCTAGAGGTTAGATTAGTAAGACATTATCTATCTATTTAACTTTTTTAATTTTAAGTTTCTAATTATATAGGGTCTAATCAAAAAGAAAGAAATGCTAATTGTTATCCTTACCAAGAAATTTTGAATCCAAGTAGCTGGTAACTACTCTGTTGTCTGACCAATAGTGTACATGTACAGCCATCTGTTTTTTAGGCTTTCATCAAAAAGAACAGCGTAGTAGTCATCCCCAATGTTTTCTAAAGGACGACTCTTGAAATGTTCAGCTAGTCCAAACACACATAAATATGCCGATTTTCTATCTCCACAACTAAATTGTTTTGAGATTTTGCTGTCTGGAAACATTTGGCTGAATAATAATGAAATTTCTTCATTAGACTTATATAAATGATGTTTTGACACAGTGTAAAGTGTCCACAAAATTTCTGCTTTAAGAACATAATTTTTGTTACACAATATTGGCGTAGAGCTAGGCTTATTGAGTGTACTAGTACTATTCGCACTAGCACTAGGTCTAGTAGGCCTCAAATTGCTTGACTCATCAATATCACCACTGTCACTGACATTGTCATTATCATCGGCATTGCTACTACGGACACTAGATCCAGTTGCCGTCTTAAATTCAACAGATCTAGGTCTAATTTCTTCCAATTTTCCACCAAACAACATGCAATCCCCCATAATTTGTGGCCTTCATAAGATCCTTATGCTTTTCACTTTTACTATGTGAAGTCAGGGCACTCAATCTCATTGAGGATAGATCAATAATTTTGTTGCAAATTGCACACAATGCTTTGTGTGTGTCCCCCTTTACCTCTCGAACCCATTGATTTAAGTTCTTATCTAAGAGCCATGCATGGCTAAAAGTGGAAACACCTGCAGGCATCGTGTTCAAATATTTGTATTATAATACAAGTGGTGCAAGGTCATGCACCATTTGCCATGCGACTCACTCGGAAATTGACGAATATATCAATTTCAGAAATTTGCCGAGATGGAGTGTGTGCACATCGGTAAATATGCGACTGAAAACACATGGCCAGCACTCAAACAATGATGTGATTTTTTAAAAATTATATTAAATTTGATAATTTATCCCGTACTAATACGAACACTCTAGATGTAATGGGATTTTTACAAATAGGAAACAATTTTTTCTCAATTCAAAATTCAAGGACTTTTCAAGGTTGAATGGGAAAAATCAAGCACTTTTCAAGGATATTATAAAATTCAAGGAGTTTTCAAGGATAGACCTAAATTCAAGGACTTTTCAAGGTCTGTGCAAACCCTGAGGGGCTGCCCCCTACACAGGTAAAATCAACCCCAACTGTTGATAGTTGAGAAACGAACAGTCAGCCTGATGGTAAACTAATACAAACTGACTTGTAACCCATGGAGGACAAGGAATGCTGGCCCCCTCAACCAATTGTGAAGCAAGTTACTCAGCATGAACCCTAATACCCAGGAAGGGTGGGAAAACTAATTAAGGAGAGGAAGAACTATCATGCAACAAAGAAGGACAGGATCATAGGAACTCAGGGAAATGGATAAAATACCACATACCTGAGAAATCATGTCTAAAAATGTGGTATTAGACCTAGTTGATTCCACAGGTGGGGCATAGGAAGACACGGGAAAATCTGGTAGTGGAACAAGGCTATCAAAATCTTCATCAGCCAGAACAAGTTTGGCTTGCTCAGGAGGAAGTGGGGCAAGTTCAGGAGGAGGAGGTGGACTCGTATGATGATCAATCTCATGACAGATAATCCCAGATAAATCCAATGACGATTCTCCCCCACCTGCAGCCCATGAAATAGTGCTAATAGGAGGTACGATACTCAAAGAGGTAACATTAACCTCAGAATTCATTGTAGAAATATATATATATACCAAACAAAAGTGTTTGATGTAAAAAAATGCGAGTGTGAGGAAAAAAAAATGATTGGGAAATGAAGTTAAAGTAAAATACTTCTTCAATGTAAAGAAAATAAATTAATTAAGAAATCCCACTTCAGAAATTAAATGATTAAAGTCACAAATGCAAATCACATGAAGAGCACCAAGAGAATAAAAAAACATCTGAACAAAAGTACTGCCAAACGAGAAGTGATAGTTCGGTAGAATTGAATAGAGGGCATCACATACATCATAAGAGTATGTTGCACTATCATTGGTGGAGGGTTGTTGCATGACATTTTGCATGAGAGATGTATTGGAATCAGTCAATTCCAATTAAGGGGAGATAAAAGGCTTGTGGCATGCATTGTTTTTTTTTTGCTTATAGGGGGCAGCACTGAACGAGAATAGATATTTATGTGAGTGGAGGTAATGTACCGTATCGGAAATACTTTTCAAGAAGAGTTCACGAGAAAAACTACATGCCTCATTAATTCACTTGTACGTAGCATAGCACATCAGACAATATCATCCACAGTGGATACCATACAAAGCCTATTTTCTTTCTAGTAAAAGTTTATGTGGTGTGTAAAAATATTTTCAAAATTTTATTGATATACTTTTCTATTTGAGATATCCATGTGTTTTTGTATAAGAACGTTTTTAAATCTAATTATGACTAATTTGAATCAATTACCTGATGTTAAAAATAGATCAATCAGAAAAATAAAACTCGGACTGGAGTAAAATTTGTCTCCACCCTTATTTTTTTTATACCAGTTGTTCACTTTATAACATGTATTTGCCTTGTGACTGACTAGTCATTCACCTTATAACATGTGTTTGCCTAATGACTGCTCTATTGGACTTTCTAAAGGAAGTTACATATTTCCAAAGTCATTAAAATCATAAACATGAAAATAATAACTTCTTATTTTGCTTGTACGAGGGGGGGTACAATGGCAACAGCTGCAGGCACATGCATCTATGGGCTAGACTGGTTTTTTCCACCGACAATTATCCTAGCTACAACCCTGGGTGCATAATTATTGGTTTTCACATACAAATAATACTTTCCAGTATATGGCAAGATTATATAGACTGGACATTTAAGTACTTTTGTTTATTGAAGTAAACACAAATTATTCAATTAATCAGATAAATAGTAAAGTTATTTTTCCATAGACAATTTCTGATGTTGCGCAGTTCTGAGTGCAAAAATTGCTAAGTACTTGAGATTTAATATGCACATTGGACTAAAATGTTCACTAGGTTATCTTTAAATACAGTTGGCACACAGCTTGTAAGATTAAAATAAAGGCCAGTAAATTTTTTTAAGGTAAAAGTTGCAGTCAAATTTACCATCTCAATTTTGCACTTGTGTTCAAAAACTCAAGTTTATGACCTCGTTGATGTTTAACAGTAAATTAATACTTTATGCTTACTATTTAAATATTCTAAAATCTGAGAAACCCCATTTGAGTCCTTGAAAATAGAAAAAGCATCATCTACACATCTTTTATAATACGTATATTGGTTAAAAAGACTATGTGCAATTATTCAACCACTGTTTTTGTGAAAACAAAGGAAAAGAATAGGTAAAGAAGCCAATCTGGCAATAGTTACACCATGAGACAACAAAGAAACTGTCAAACAGTCTATCAGCTCTTCTGTCATAGCAGAATATGTCAGCAAAATCCAGTTTCACAAATGTAGCAAATCTTTCAAAATCATTACAAGTGATAATTCTCAAAACATTTTTGTGGTAAAATGTAAATAACTTAGTTCAAATAGTATGTGAATGTCATGTTACTAAAACGAATTCCTAATGTAATGGATAAGTATCATGATGTTAGGCCAACTCATTTCCAGCTAACTACACTGTATCTACTTACTTAATGCAAAAGGATGGTAGACTCTTAGTTAATGTAATCTAAAATAACACAGTTATTTCTTTTCTTAATTAATATTAATGATTTAAAAATTATCCATAAGTTAAATAAAAGTACAGATAAAATTACAAATAGATGCTTGGAATTTTCAATAATGATACTAAAGCTAAGATCAAAGATATGTGAATGGATGAGACATGGAAAAAGGGAAAAAGAAAATATTATGCTTTCTCTGCAATGTAAAACTGGATGATTTTCCAAAGTTGTTCATAACTTAATCAAAATGTTATATACACTGTATGGCTACTGCCTCTACTAACAACTACTTATACACTCAATGCTTTTAAAAAACAACAAAAAACTTACTTTGCATTTCCATTTAAACTTTTTATTTCCTTGTGCATTAATGCAGTACAAATGGAATTCAAAGATTTTTGTGGTTTATTATTTCAAAAAACAGTTAAATTTTAACATAATTGCTGAGCATGACTGAACCAATCAGAATGTCCATTTCCAACCTAGTAAAGTTATCATTAATTTAATCTTATATAAAAAAACATGTTTAAAAATTCAATAAAAACTAGCACCAATGCCAATTACTCAAGTACAATAACTGTACATACAAAAATATTAACACTGTAAATATCTGTAAAATGAAACAATCAATAGATAAACTACAAACTCACGTGGACAGTAGAAAGGTTCATCACTTCGATCACCACAATTATTGTGTCCATTGCAGTAGAAGTTTTGCCATATACATCGTCCATTGTTACACCGGAAACGTTCACTTCCTTCACAGGAGTGAGTGACATTGTCCACTGAGAATATGAACAGAAATAAAATAATTACAGTGAAAAGTGTAAAATCTTTATCTTGTATTGTCTTTTATTTCAAACTTGATAAAAACTCTTTAGAATATGCTAAGTTACTGGTTAATGCTTCAATATTTTAGACATTTGCATTGAAAATTTACACAAATGGAACTTCAAGCAGTATATTTTATGAAATTGAGAAATAAAAAAATTAAGTTCTTAAACCATTTACATAATTTAGGGCAATCAGACAAAATCTTACTGTGAACAGCAATGTAACTTTGTAGCTGCAAGTCCTTTTGATGCATCTATAACATCACTTAAACTCTTGTGTGTCTTACTGCTTTCTGTTTTTAGACCTTCAAATTAATGTATATAATCCTTATATTAGCTATCAAATAGACACATTCTCTTAGGTAGTGGATGCACACATGTCCATCATTACTAGAGCTGGGCAATTATTGGTATTTGATGATTGATGAATCAATAGCCACATTAATTGATTGGTACAGAGTTCCTTAAACCACACCACATACAAGCAATAATAAAAAAAAGGTTGGTGGTGGGTGCTGCCACAGAGTTGCCTTTCCTCTAGTCAGCAGTTCAGCAACAAAATAAATAAAATAAATTAGCAGCAGGGCTGCCACACACTTGTACTCCCTCTAGTTAACAGTTCAAAAGGAGAAGAAAAAAGAAAATAGCTGTCAACGGGCACTGCTAGCCAGTTACTTTCCCTCTAGTCACAGTTCAAAATTATTGTCATGACAGAAAGGCTTTGTATCCATAACAAAGACAGGGTGAGTAAGTTTGGTACTAATAGTTCAATTACATGTACAGTTGGAATAATGAAAAATTAGAAACACTAATTTTGACTAATCAACTGATTTTTGTAAGCATTTGCCAAACTTTTGTCATCCACAACCCCTTTTAACGAATATGGTTTCTTGTGCCCCCCCTCTTTTTTTAAATGAGTTAAATGACAAGAAGTAATACATGGATACTTATTAAAATGCTATATGTGTTATAGTAATTACTTATTACTTTCATTAACAAAAATTTTCTTAAAACATTTAATTTAGCATTATTGCACTACTGACTCTACCCTAATTGCTTGCACCCCTAAGTGGGGGGTGCACCTCGCATCTCAGAAAATGCTGGTTTACGTGACACTAATCAACATAATCACTGTTTATAAATAATCGATTATAGAGATTAATGAAATAAATTGCCCAATTCTAATTCATTAGTGTGTAATATCACTACATTAGAATCAACATGTTAGTTTTCATCACAAGTAATTAAGTGTGAAAAATAACGTGCCAATTATTAAGAAAATGAGTAGAAAAAGACATGGAAACCTAAAATTTGTAAATAAATTATGATAACAAAAATTGTGCTGAAAATTAGTCATAATATAATTTACAATAATTAATATTGTGAAATGTTTTATTTTTTGGACACTAGCTTATTATGGCTTAGATGAAATACTATATACAGGATATGCAATTTAATTACAAAGCATTCAACATGTGTAGCGGATGTGTTTATTTCTGTAAATAAGTCACCTTCTTGATAATTTTACAATAACTACAGATATTAAATGTTTCAAAAATAATCCTTTCAATGTAATATAGTATATATATCTAGATTTAAGATGTAAAATTGTAGTGTAAAATTTTAAACATCAGTTCATAATGGAAAATAACTGACAAGAAGCAGATGAGGCACACTTAAAATGTCATGTACCGAGATATTCAAGTTCAATTGGATATACGTGCCAAAGAGCAATATTTTAGAAATGACTGTTCTTATGTCAACTAAACCTTCCTTTTACAGATAAGAAATAAAATTAAGCTAAATAATTTTTACAAAAACTATCAATTGAAAAAATTTAAACATAAACCATATGTCTTTTTTTGGCCATTAATTTCTAATAAAGTGAGAAGTAATGAAAAATATCTGTAATGATGATAGAATCGATACAAAATAGAGTCAAAATTCAAAAATCTCAATAACAAGAGGACTTGCTAAAGGTAGACCTTTCACCATCACCCCTGAAAAATAAAATTTTGAAAAGCACTTAATTTAAGGTATTTCCTATCTGGTGATTTATTTAATTTTTTTATCCTATGTGGTTTATTATATTAAAAGTACAGAAAACAATGATATTTACTGCAACTTACCAGAATCAAACACAGTGAAAGTGGCTTCAAATCCTGTGTAATTAAAAGTGATATTTCCTTCTGTGGAACTCTGAAACTTCACGGTTATGTTAGGAAGTTTGAGAGTGGACACAAAATCCAGCTCTGGACAGTCTTCATCATGGCACTTGTGCTGGCCACATATGGGATCACTATAATTTGTTTGGTTGGACTGACCAGTGATCACTAATAACTCATCAAACTCACAGGATCTTATGTTAACAAATGAGAATGTTAGTAGCAGCTGGTATCCTACTGGAGCACAAAGTATTAAAGAACAGTTCATACCTGCTTTATAAAATGGTTGGCCAGTGAGGACTTGTGCAAGTTTAAGTGTGCCAGCTGAGTACTGGCCATTTTTGGATAAGACTAAAACTGCAGGATCTTGACTGTTTAACTGACAATAATCTGTTAAAAAATCTGCATAGGAAAAAAAATGGAAAATTTAATACAACATAAGAAGGAAAAACAAAAGATAACAAAAGTCTTAGAATAAACCCTAAAAGTATTAAATTTGTAATATATATTCATACAAGTACACAATTATAGCCAAAAACAAACCTTTAGGAGAAATTGCCAAAAATACTTACAATTTTCTTGCTTAGCACCAGCCAGACTGAGAGATAGATAGTTTGCAAGAAATATCCAAAACAAAAGTTTGGAAAACATTTTGCCTATAGAATTATAGCAACGTTTTCTGGTGGTAAATGCTATGTCTTTGCAGCCCTGCAGAAACGAATAAAACAAGTAAAATTAAACATAACACATGAAAAGCTGACATTTTTTAACCACGAGTTAATATTACCTATAATATTACACACACAATTACATATTTAGAGACAACAAATGCTTAACTTATCATCAAGATCATTCGATTAACATATCTGTTTATTGCACACAGCACTATACAGAACATAGCTAAAGAGTACGATACACAATAGACAAGTGAAAACAAATAATTACCACCTCCCAATGGTGGTGGTATTGTTTCCATTTTGTTTTTGTGTGTGTGAACAGTATAACTCAAAAAGCTTATCTGATTTTAGTTCAATTTATACAAAAGTAGTGTCCCTCAATGAAATAAGTTCTGTTGACTAAAGGACAAGGTCACAATAGAGGTTACTCACTTTCATTATGATGATAGCAAATCAGGATTTTCAAAATGGTCAGAATTGAGATAAAGCATTTTCACACCTTGACCTACATTTATTGAGGGTGATGAATTGTTTAGGTTTGTTACTTAAAAATCTTGAAAACAATGCAAGGCAGAGGATGCATCCTCTGAGTGAGTGCCTTTGTAATTCATAATTGAAATTATTTACGAGAAACTATTCTAGTATATGTAGATATTTAAACCAGTAATAACTTATTTGGTGTTTATAGGTGCATGTGTTCAATAAAGAAGTTGTTCTGTGCTACTACTTTTACATGTATTTAGTTAAACCACATCCAATTTAGAATGTTTACTGCATATGAAAGTTATTCAAACCAGAAATTATTCCATGTAGCAATAATTATTTGGTTTCCATGAAAACATTCGTTGGTGTATAGGTATAGTGATATCCATGGGTGCAATGTATCCCCATGGTAACCTTAATTATTTATTCTATACTTACAGCTTGAAGTAATTTAAAAACATTTTTGTGTTTCAGAGAGAGAGAAAGTAATGCCAATCACGTGGTGCCTCAGAAGGGTTATATAAAAACTATAATTTCTATGATGCAAGTAACCCCATGCCAATTTTCTGCCTTCAGTCTGCCAAGTAAGCACAAGTAACACACGCACACACACACACATGCACACTTGAAACTTTGAAGAACACACCAATTTGTCACACCTGGTCATTTTGGCACCTCTAATGTTAAATTAATAAAATTTTTAATCAAAGCAAGCTATCTTTATGAATCAAAACTAAAAATATACCTAATAATGAGGATAGTTAACTAAATATATTGTACAAACTATCTTACTTATAACAAAATGTTTTGGGACAACATGGAACCTATTGGTCCATCTCGGCTGTTCCATCTTCTAAACTCAACTAAAATGATTTTAAAAAAAATCTTAAAGCCAGCCCTTATCATTCATATACTTATCAAGCTTGTTCTTAAGCTCACTTAAATTTACTACCTCTACAACATCTGAAGGCAACCCAGCCCATAGGCCAACCACCCTGTTATAAAAATGAAACTGTCTTAACTGAAGATGACTCCTACCTTGCCAAAATTTATATTTATGGTTCCTATTCCTACTATTCTAACTGTTAAATAAAAAAAAAGATGATGTATCAACACTATCAATTCTCCTCACAATCTTAAACACCTCAATCAGATCCCCCTAACTCTTCATTTTTCAAAAGAA